CCTCATTGTTCTCTCCGGTCCCATTGGCTCCTTCCTTGTCATTGTCCCCCTGTTTTGTGCCCCCACCCCAACAGGGGCTCCCAGCCGTGTGGGGACCCTTTGCATCCCCAGCAGGGATCCCCAGGGGTGGGTGCAAGGGGCCTGTCCCAGGCGCCACGGGGGTGATCCCAGCCCTGTACCTCCAGCAATACTCAGGAAGCTTAAGGTTTTGGGGTGAGGGGACAGGGACACACAGAGGCCTGTCCTGAGCCTGGGAGCCTGAGAGACTGAGGAGGCAGGGACACCCGGGAGTCTGTCCTTAGTCCCTGTCCCCAGGAGACTGGGCTGGAGAAGCATCTCACATGAATGAAACCCCGTGCCTATGCCAGAAAACAGGGTGGGCACACGGTCCAGTCCAGCCACAGCATCTCCACATCCTTCACCTGCACAGCTTCTGGTCTGTGTTAGGTGTTTTAAGCCCTTACGCTGCATGGAGGTGGCTTATACAGCACTATTTCTGTTTGATTAAATGCTTTTATCTTTAAGAAATGCAAAATCTTTCCTGCATACAGTTTTCATCATGGATAAGAAAGAATTGTGATTTACTGGTCTTTGTGCTGGGTGGTGTGTAGGATTTATCCCTGCAGCTCTCCATTCCCATGGTGGTTTGTCTCTTCTCAGATTTTTGACCCACCAGAGGAACTGGAGAGAAAGGTGCAGGAGCTGGCAGACTTGATCAGGAGTTCTTCCAATGTGGTGTTTCACACAGGGGCTGGAATCAGCACCGCCTCAGGGATTCCTGACTTCAGGTAAGGGCAGTGGGTGGCAGGCAAGGAGTTGGGAGAGTCACATCTCCTCCGAGTCCATCTTACATCTTGAAAGCTCTGGACTGTGCTTCCTGCTGCCCCTCCATCCCTCCTGTCTGGTTCTGCATTCAGCTGAAGGTGCCCTCTCCGTCTTGCATGCCCATTTAATGTTAAGCTGTATCCACGGAAGCCCTACGTGCGCTCTGCTTGCATCAGTGACATAAAACGCTGGTGATCCACGACCTTCATTTAGCAGTCTCGCTCATCCTCCATTGGTAGGGCTTATGGTGCATTTAAAACTGTTTCCTCAGAGCCTGAGCTCTTGATTCTCACTCTTTCTGTCCCCATTACCGCAGGGGGCCCAATGGTGTCTGGACTATGGAAGAGAAGGGGCTCTCCCCAAAATTCGACACTACCTTCGAGAATGCCAGACCCTCCAAGACTCACATGGCGCTGCTGGGGCTGCAGAGAGTTGGCATCCTGAAATTCCTGGTCAGCCAGAACGTGGATGGCCTGCATGTGCGTTCAGGATTCCCACGGTACTGCCTTTTCTCCTGCTTTCTCTAGGTCCCTCGTGTTTTTCCGGGCCTCTGCCACGTGGCCGTTCTTGCTGCCCGATTAGCTTGGCCTTGCCTGCGAATGTTTGATGCTGGGCCTTGATTTCCAAGGCTGGCTTGGAAGCTGCCTGCTGATACTGGGAGTGGAAACTGGGATGCACTGGTGTGGGAAGGGGGTACATAAACCAGCTTGAATTTAGAGAAGAGAGGTTATGGTAATAATTCAGAGGGCGATGAAACTAAGTCAGCCTTGGCTGATGCTCTCTAGAAATACACCCAGAAGCCATTTGTTCCTGAGAAAAACAAACAGGTCGTGTTGTTGGGCTGTCACACGTTACCGTGCATCAGCTGAGCAGCTGTAGCTGTTGGTGCCGCTGTGAGCAGCCTGGCTGTGCTGTGTGGCTGCCTGGGGGATCGAAGCCCAAGGGGTGAGACATCAGCTTCAAGCCGGGTCCATGCTCCTAGGAACTGGGCTCAGGGCGCATGGTCCTTTCTGCTGCCTCTGTGCACGTCCAGAGGGGTGAAGGGATGGGAGGGAGGATGAGAGCACCTGAAACTGCTCCTGCTGCGTGCAGAGATGCGTGTCACCTTGTTTTACCAGCGCTGCTGAAGCTGTCTCAGAGCACTGGCTCTTGTGCTATTTTTACAGTTTGCTTAAGTTGAATTTCTTGAGAGAAAATAAAGGCGATGCTGCCCCAGTGATGAAACCACACCTGGGCCCAAGGTCTCCTTAAAAAGTATTTTGCCTCTCAATAAATTCACAAAACTGCAAGGGCAGCAAGACAGAGAGAGAATCCCGCAGTTGGATCTGGTCTGACTCACTGGCTGTGGTCTCCGATTTCCTCAGCCGTGATGAGGGCAGGGATCCTGCACAGCCGCGTTCCCTCTGTTCCCTGACGTGCGGGAGCCGAGGGGACAAGATCTCTGCTCCCTGCGTGGGTGGGGACTGAAGTGCATTTAGCAGCACTGTGGCCGTTTCAAAGATGTCCTCAGAGGAACCCGCCTTTCCCTCAGTGCTTACGGCAACACGCTCTTCTCCCTTCGGGAAAATTCAGCCTCTCATAAAACCCATTTCCAGCACTTAGGACCAGCGAGGCAAACTGCTTGGAGCTGCCTGGAAAGGAAAGGGGAGAGCAGCTGAGCTCAAGTAAGAAAATAAAGTGAGGGAATTTGTGATGAGAATGGGATGAATGGGACCACGGAGAAGATGCATCTCACAGATGTCTTCAGCCACCACTGGCTGAGCAGAGAGCTGCCTTGAAGGGGTATTTCCTACAATTAAAAGCCCTGAGTCCTGGTTCCTGCTCCCAGCAGCACATTTGCCTTTTTAAACTAGACAACCATGGCAGAAAGAATAGGAAATAATGACCAGAACTGGGCTGTGCTCCCTGCAGCCTGGTGCCACCAGCTCCTGCTCTGGTTCTGCACAGCTTTCACTCAGGTGAAGCATGGGCTTCAGTAGGCGCTGCTGAACTGGGGCCAAAATGGGGGAAATCAAGTCAGTCCTGTCTCCATCTGCCCCAGAGGAGGTTCCCAGTCATCGCGGGGCTCGTAGGAAGAGTGTGGGGCCTTGTTTTCCTCCAGCCTTGAGGCTGGTGCTGAGCTTGAGGGGAGTTTTAGTCAAAACAATTGGCAAAGGGCTGGAAACATGCGAAGACAGAGAGAAGCATTGAGTGCTGAGAAAAGCAAAGATCCCGATTACCACTGGGCGCAGAGATTTGGGGCTGGGTCGGAGCGGGGGTAGAATTGGTGCTGTGGATGGAAGCATTGAAAATGAAACAGTCAGGACTTGCTGTCCCTGCTCTCAGACCCAGTTGTGGTGGCCATAGTGTGGTGCTTTCCTGGTGGAGATGAAACTGTGGTGCAGAAAGCCTCTTGCCAGGATCTGAATGTTTCCTCTGGGTCTTCCCCGCCCCATGGGAGGGACAGCTCTGCCTAAACTTTCTTTGATTGCTATTTCTTGTTGAGCACAGTGGTGCTCAGTGTGCTGTAGTTTTGCCAGCGCCTGCGTGCCCTTCATTTGGTGGCCAGGCTCAGCACAGGGAAGTCCCCACGCTTGGTGGCTGGAGCAGTGGTGTTCTCTGCCGGACCAACTCCCTTCCTGCAGCAAGGCCAGGTCGTTTTGTGTCACCCAGTATCCCCAGAGCTTGCCTGGCACTGGTGCCTTGCTCTGCTGCAGCCGTATTTGTCTGTACCTCACGTCTCCACTCGGTGCTGACCCTGCACTGAGGCACTGTCCCTGGGCTGTGGCAGAGGGTCTCTTGTCACCCCACGTCACCCAGCAGAGCTGGAAAGTTGGGAAGCCTTTGAGGTGCAGGACCCCCAGCGAGGAGGGGAGTTTGGGCAGCTTTCCCTGTTGTCCCAGGCCTCTCCACCCTTCCCCAATTCATCTTTGACGTTTCTTCCACAGGGACAAGTTGGCTGAGCTCCACGGGAACATGTTTGTGGAAGAGTGTGTGAAATGTGGCAAGTACGTGAGGCCTGAGCTTGGGGGGGCAACGTCAGTGGGGTGGGGGCTTTGCCGCTGTCCCCAAGAAATGAGGGAGGTCCTGCACATGCTGTGGGGGTGCCCGCCTGGGAGGTCCCAGCGCATCGTGCATGGGGTCACGGACATTTGCCACCTCCCTGTGTGTTTGGTCCTGAATGGCACCGTTGTCTTGCAGGCAGTACGTGCGGGACGCGGTGGTGGGCAGCATGGGGCTGAAGCCTACAGGAAGGTTGTGCAGCGTCACCAAAGCCCGGGGGCTGCGGGCCTGCAGGTACGTCTGCGGGGGCCATGGCTTGGTGCTCCCAAGAGGACATGGGGTGGCGTGGACCCCTTCACCTGAGCGAGTGGCTCTGGTCTGCAGCCTTGGCTTTGCAGGACTGGGCCACCGGTCCCTCCTGTTTGGGTGAAGAAGCGGGGTGTGTAGGAGAGATCTCCAAAGGCCCAGAGAGGAGGCCAGCACCCGTGGCTCTGGGGGAGTTTCCCCCGAATTTGAACTTGTCCTGATGCTGGTGACGCGCTGCTGTGGGGTGGCAGCTCTAGAGAGCCCCTTCACCACTGTGCTGCCCTGGTGCTGTTTACCTTCGATGGGGAGCGTAGGCAGTGTTTCCAGCTCTGCAACTGGAGGTGCCCTGAGGTGATTTGGCATCCAGACACACTCCACGTCCCCCTTGCGCTTCCTCACCCGGGCTCAGCAGGCCCAATGTGGCTGCTTTTCTCCTCCAAGGCAGCTGCAGAGCCAGCACAGCAGCTGTGGAGCAGAGCTCTGCTGGCTCAGGTCTGGGAGTGAAAGGTGCATCCTAGCTCCAAACTGGGACAGCAAAACAGCTGGGGCTTTGGTGGCATTGCAGCATCAGCCACCAAATCCCTCATGTAGGTGAATTCTGTGCCTTCCCTCGCTTCTGGTGAGTCTCCTCGGCTTCCCTGGGCTCTCTGTCCCTTCGCAGTGCTGGGCCAGGAAGGGTGGGAGAGGATCTGGATCACTGTCCCCTTTCCCAGGACAGGGGAAACCATGGTCCCCGTGTTTTTTTCCAGAGGGAAGTTAAGAGACACCATTCTGGACTGGGAAGATTCCCTGCCCGACCGCGACCTGACGCTGGCGGATGAAGCCTGCAGGTACTGATCTTGGGCTCTTCATGCCATGGCAGCTGCTGGTGCCAAATTCTTGGCCATGGCTTTGCTTCCAGGCTGGGAAGTTTGGAGAGTCTGCACTGGAGCGGGGTAGGAGAAGCACCCTGCAAACAGTCACCTTTATTTTTCTCTTCCCTGGATATTTTGTCTCCTCCCTGCAGGAAAGCTGATCTCTCTGTCACTTTGGGGACCTCTCTGCAGATCAAACCCAGTGGCAACCTCCCACTGATCACAAAGAAGAGAGGAGGGAAGCTGGTCATAGTCAACCTACAAGCAACCAAACACGTGAGTGAGAGCGTCCTCGCCGCTCTGCGCCCCAAGCAGTTTGTTCTGTGCTGCTCCTTGCCCCTCGTGTCACATGTTTCAACTCAGTCACAGTTTGGTCCCTGCACATTGTCCCTTCCCAGGCAGCCAGATAGAAAATTGGCAAAGCAAACAGGCTGGGCTTCCCTTGTCGGGGATTTTAAACCTACAACTCCCGATAAACACCTAGAAATGGAAGTTAAAGCTCAAGAGCGGAATAAAAACTCAGCCCAAAGCCTGGTATATCCTCCAGGGAATTATGGTCTCATTAAATAATGGCACAAACATAACCCACGCCACAGGGCAGAGTTTGGTTCATGTTCAGCCCTGGTTTTGGTGCCCTAATTGTCCAAATTCTTTTGAATAATCAGAGCTGGGGGTGTTCTGGGGTGGCATTAGAGCTCTCTTGTCCCTGTCCCCCGTTGTCCTGGGCTCACTGGCCCAGTTCTGCACCCGTGTCCTCATCTCTGGGCTGTGTTGAACCGCGAGGCTGCCTGTCCACACCCTGGTGCAGCCCTGTCAGCCTGCAGCATGGCCGGGAGTGGTGCCAGACGGGGTCAGTTCCTGTCCCAGCAGGGGCAATGTCTATGGGACAGGAGCCCTGGAGCCCATGTGCAGCTGAGCCACCACCCAGGTCCTGTCCCCACACGCTCCCTGGGAGGGGACGTTTGTCCCTGCATGCTGCGTTTGTCCCCTAATGCAGTGCTTGGCCTTGTTTGCCCCAGGACAGACAGGCCGACCTGCGCATCCATGCCTACGTCGATGATGTTATGACGAAGCTGATGAAGCATTTGGGACTGGAGGTCCCGGAGTGGACAGGGCCGGTGGTGGTGGAAAGCGCTGAGCTCCCTAAACCTGAAACGTAGGGCTCATGGGCTGCTGAAAGAGGAGCCCCTCTCCCAGCACAACGGCACGGGTGGGCTGTGCCCTGACCTGGGGACCACGCTGGTGGAGCACCGAGACAGCCTGAAGCAGGAGTGTCCCAGCCCAGACATGGGGCCAACGACGGTGAAGAAGATGAAGGTGGAGCCTCTCCTCACCTGACCCAGACTGTTCCCCGTCTGTTTAGACACTTGTCTGTGCCGCTTTTCCTACCAACTTTTTTTTATACCCTTAAACATTGTCCCTTTTTTTATGTAAGTATTAAATACACTTGAACCGCTTGTGTCAGGGCAGCTGCACCCACTGATCCAGGAAGGGTCCTGCCTGCTTGAAATGCACCCAGCACCCAATTCCTTCTCCGTGAGGGGGCGGCTGTGGGGCCCAGCAGAGCTCAGAGGGACGGGGGGGCAGGCAGACAGTGACATGAGGGGGATGTTGTGGCAGTTGATGCCATCGCAGATGAAGCTGCGATTGGGAGGAGCTGCTGTGGTCCCCTGGCTGTGCTGTGCCCACAGAGCCAGGGCCATGTGTGCTGGTGGCCTGGGGGACATCGCTGGGTGGTGGAAGGGGACACATCCTGGCCTGGCACAGAGTTGGGGGCTGGGAGATGGTGCCCCCCTGCCCTCCCATGTGTCCTGGCTCTGTTGGACCCTGTTGTCTCGTGGCAGCTGGGCTTGAGGTTGCCATGGCCCCAGAGTCCTGTAGCTCAGCCCATATTAAACTAAAGCAGGTGGATTTTTTTTCCAAAATACCTTTTATTTAGAGATTAAAATAAAGCTTAAAAAAAAGAAAAAAACCAAAAACAACAAACCTAAGCAGTTGCAACATCCAACCAGCCCAGGGCGCCTCTGGTCCCCTTGTCTCCATCCTGAGCACCCCTTTTTCCCTTCCACAGCTCCTGCTGCGGCCAGGGGGCTGGAGCTGTCCCTTCTGTCCCAGTAAGGTCAATGGGAACCAGTCTCATCTTCCCAGTTCACAGATACAAGCAAAGCCAAGAGGGTCCAGCATCTGGCTGTGCCTGGAGGCAGATCCTAGAGGTGCCACCCTGAAGGCTTGTCCTGCAGGGGATGAGGTGCTGAATCACCCCATTGCATCCCCCGTGGTCTCTGGGTGCTGCTCACAGCTCCTCAGCCGGCTCCAGTGCCATGGGCCTGCCATGGCTGGTCTGGGTCCAAGCTAGGCTGTGGTGTGGGGTGGTGCTGTCCTTTGACACGGTGTCAGCTCCATCCCCATCCCCACGGCTCAGCTCCTCTGAGGCGAGCGGCTGCGTGTCGTTATGGGGGGAGACTTTGTCTGGGCGTGGGGTGAACGTGCGACCACCGAAGGCTTCATGCAGGGTCTCAGGAGCTTTGCCCAGGTGTTCCGGCCACAGCGGCTCTGGGTGCTTCTCATCCCTGGCTTGGGGCTGTGTGTAAACCACACGGGAGGCAGCTGCGTTGTGCAGGGACCTGGAGAAAACTGAGCACAAAGGAGGGTCAGGGCCCACTCCGGTGCACCGAGCTTTCAGCACAGCCCTGGCACGACCCTTACCTCGCACGGGTCCAAAGTCACCGCCTGCTTCGGCCTTGCTGGGAGCAAAGGGACTGACGGAGGGGAAGACGATGAGTGCGAAGGAGAGCAGCAGGACCTGGGGGCAGAGGGGGACACTGAGTTCTGGGAGAGGGGTGGTGGCAGAACCAGGACTGTGTCCCTCTGTCCATCGCAGTGCATATGACCCTGCCATCGCGCGTCCATCCATCTGTCCATCCATCCCTCCTCACGCATCTTTTGTCCCTTCTCCCATCCATCCAACCTTGGAGCATCTCTTGTGCTTTAGCCCACGTCCATCCCTCTGCCCAGCCCATCTCTGTGGGTCTGCGCCCCCCTCCCTCCCTCTCTCCAGGCAAGGAGGCCGTGCTGGGTCTGGGGGCTCCACACACCGCTATGCAGGTTCCTGTCTGTGCTGCTTTGTTGCTTGACTGCACCAGGAGGGCCTGGAGCTTCTTCAGCTGCTCCAGAAGGGATCTGGGGACAGGGAGAGCCCATTGGCACCTCCAAACTCCTCCTGCACCCCAAAAGGTCTGGCCTGGGGTGGGGGAGTTCCCAGGCCCATCCTACTCCCCCATTGTTTCCGTCCTGCCCCAGGAACACCTACGAGTTCTGCTTCTCCAAGTGTAGGACTTTCCTCTGCAGCTCCTGGTTCTGGGCCGTGCATGCCGACATCCTGGGGGACAGGGAGAGGGGCACAAGGTCGGTGAGGGACAGATGAGGGGGGCTGGCAAGGACCAGCATGGCCACGACCAGCTAGCCAGGTGCCCCCAGGGTGTCGGCCCCAGGGATTGCTGCGCAGGGCTCAGGGCCGTACCGGCTCTCCAGCCCGTCAATGTACTCTTTCTTCTTCTTGCGGCTCTCCTGAGCTGACTGCTTGTTCCTGATCTTCCGCCGGATTTTCTTCAGCACCCGCTCCTCGTACTGGGGGAGATGGGGGGGGGGGTCAGGGCTGCTGGGGCTGGGACCCCCTCAGTCTGTGTCCTTCCTGGGAGACTGGGACCCACCTTGGTGAGGGGCAGCTGGGTGGGCAGGGACACCCCCTCCTTCGCCAGCAGCTTCTTCTCATCCTCCGTAAGCCCCAGCTCCCG